ACTGCCAGAGGGAGGTACATTGGAAATGGCATCTTATTATTTGTAAGCAAGCAACAGCAGGCATGTCCTTTTCTCTCTGTGACATTCCTGTACAGTAACTGTCCCCTAGATGAATTCTCCATTCCTCTATGTGTGTCTTGTTGGTTGGTGATATTAAGTGTGTGTGTTGTTTTGTGTGTGCAGCCGCTAAAGAGTATGAATGAGCATGGATAAGCATTTTGCTTCCAGGCTTCATTTCTGTTAACCCCTTCACGTCTGCTTCATTCAGATCAGACATTGCTATACAATAATTTCCTCTCTGGAGAAATACTGCTGGAGCCAATGAGAAGAGAAGAGGAGACGAGAGGAGAAGAGAATGAAGAGTGTGTGTGTGTTGTGTGTGGTGTGTGGTGTGTGTGCTGTGTGTGTGTGTGTTGTGTGTGGTGTGAGGAGGCCTGCGGCCCAGTCAGACTGTAAAGGGGACTTTAGTGAGGTTGTTTCATGAATGGCTCTGCTCTACATGATGCAGATCACTGGTGGTTTCAAGGCTCAAATGGGAAAAAGAAGCGCTGGATGTTCGTATTCAGTTGTTTTATTACTGTTGCGGTTTGACCTGTTCTTGTGAGCTACAGTCGCGCTGATTGCAAAAAAAGTAATTAAAAGCCAGTTTATGATCACCCCGTTTACATCAATGATGGCAGACGTTAGCAATCCAAATTGAAAAATAACCACCAATATGTTATAATTTGTTATTTACACTAACTATGAAACATAATTGTAAGTTGTGGCTCTGTTAGAAACACCTCTCAGTGCCAGCCTCCCAAAATAACCATAAAGTTGAATTAACCCCTCTCTAAAACATTTTCAACAAAAACTGAAATTATAACCTCCCTGAAGAAAAGATTTGTCACCGCTGTTGTATTCGTTTTAGCTACGTGTAACTAATAAACTGGTAGCTGAGTATAAATACACATTCACTGTGCGCGCTGCAACAAGGTGTCTGTAAAAGTGTTCTAGCGGGGGAGAGGCAGGGCAAAGCTTAAAATGTGTCTCAGCAGAATTATAGCAAAAATGAGTGAACTTGTATAAACTGTTTAAAAAAGCGTGTGTTTTATGACTTTTTGTCTTATTATTCTTTCTCTCCCTCCCTTTCTGTTCTTCCAGTCTGCCAGAGTAAGGACATCCGGAACAATGTGACCAACCTCCAGTCGTTGGAGAACTGCACCATCATCGAGGGCCACCTTAAGATTCTGCTCATGTTTAAGACCAAGACCGAGGACTTCCGGGGTCTCAGCTACCCGAAGCTGCGAGTGGTGACTGACTACGTGCTGCTGTTCAGAGTCTATGGCCTCGACTCCCTCAGCGATCTCTTCCCCAACCTGACGGTAATCCGCGGAAGCAACCTCTTCTTCAACTACGCTCTTGTACTTTACGAGATGCTGCAGCTGAAGGAGGTGGGCCTCCACAGTCTCATGAATATTACCAGGGGCGCCGTGAGGATCGAGAAGAATCCAGACCTGTGTTACCTGGCCACCCTGGACTGGTCCAAGATCCTGGAATCGGTGGGGGACAACTTCATCGTGGCCAATAAGAATGAGAGAGAGTGTGGAGACGTGTGTCCCGGCACGGCACAAGGTCAGACCACCTGCCTGCAGAACACCATTAACGGACACTTCAGGGGACGGTGCTGGTCACAGAATCACTGCCAGAGAAGTAAGTGTGTGTTGGTTTGCATACAAATAATGTAAACTCTGGAAGTTTTCTTAAGTATCAGAATCATCCAGTGATAGTTGTCTGTATATCCGTGGGTACATTGCAAACAGGGCCTGCTAATAGCTAACTGCATACTTTTAATGGTACAGATTCGTCAAAATGTAATCCAACATAAGTTAAAACAGAGCTCAAGTTGCAGCCCACAGCTAAGTAACTAACTCCTTTGCAACTTTATACGTCCTGTTTACATTCCTAGCAGTTGTCTCATTTTTTTCTGAGGGGCGGGGCGGGCCACAGTGTGACTTAGGAAGTTGATTGCTGTCAGGCGTTTAAACAAGCCTGATACCCGCCAAATGAACAAAAGACTGTCATTTGTGTATGGAGTTGTGGAAAAATCTCCATATTGACTGGCTGCTGTGTGCAGACATGATGGCGTAACACCTTTTACAGAATCCATCACGCTGCTTGTTGTAAAGTGGTCCATTGAGACACACAATGAGAATATGCACTGGAGATTTTTTCCTCCCAGAAATCAATTGAGACGACTGATGTTTTCATTCCAAATGGTTCATGTAATGATTTCTATGATGCAGAGGGTTGCTCCTAATATCAGCAGCCAGGGGTCGTGGACTCCCTCTGATTAGCATTCATTGACTGGAGCATTGTGGGCAAGTGATAGGTAATTATAGGCTCGGGATCTTCTTGATGTGTGAAATGACTCAACTGCATTGTAGAGTCAGGGAACTGCATACTCAAAGGTAGGCATTACGGGGGAAAAATGAAACAGGGTTAGGGCCAAGAGATTTGATGGACAAGGATAAACAGGAGAGTGTATTTGTTTGTTAGAAATTGTACAAATGTTTCTCCTTTGAGTAATAAAGAGCTGTGGGTTTGCTTGGTGCTGCAGCCAGCTGCCAGTGTGTCATCCAGTCAGTCAGTCAGTCTTTCCTCTCCTGCCATAAACACAGAGAATGGCTTCTATTGTAAGGCACACAGACAGAATGCTTATTATTTTTTGAAGGCGATTATAGCTTGTATTGTTTTTTCTCCTCTGTCTCTGTGTCTGATAGAAAAGGCTAGCGTTCAAAGCACAACTACCTCGGCCATGTTTATACTTTAACATCGACTGTTGCAGCCCGCATATAATGTTGGCTCCTCGATTTTCTGCCAGGTCTCACTGTCGGGAAAGTAAAACAGGAAATGGCTCTCTTTGTGTCTCAGTCTCCGTCTCTAAACACACATACACAAACACGCACAACAATTCAATTTGTTTTAATGGTAAGGTTAAAACAACAATTGTTAGTATTACATGGGAGAGATGGCACTTAAGATTGTGTTGTCCAGGACTTAAGCGCTTTAAGAGCTCAAAATTCAGATGTAAAGAAAAGCTGTTCTATTTTATATTTGTGAATAAAAAGTGACATTTTAGATTGGATTTTGGTTTTATAAAAACGATAATTAAACTTCTTTTAAAATAAATATAAATTAAGGGGAGTTCCAAAGGTATCTGTTGGTAAAAAGTAGATCTAACACAGAGTGTTTGTACAAAATATTGATGGTTATGATGAATTATACACTAGCTGGAGCAATATGTATAATTTAGAAGTGGTGGTAATCTTTGCCTATTATTTGCATTTAATTTGAATATTTGATAAGATGTTAAACCACTTACACACTCTCTCCCCCCCACACACACTTCAGTGTTGGATAACTTTTTTTACTCCCATGTGTAATCCTGAGAAGTTTGATGAATAAAGGCCCTGGATTTGATTTCACAGACAAATGCCCTGACCATTCAAAATAAGAGCGTCACCTGATAAACACAAGTGGCTGAACAGTACATCAAACAACGTGTGTTCATGTGCGTTCATGCCTCCTTTGCTTTGGATAGGCCAGGGGAGCAGGTATGACGCTGTACTCTGCATCACGTGACGGGCACCAGTTTATTCATCAAGGGCTGTGTGTTAAAACAGGAGCCATTTCTAGAACATGACACAAAGGCTGTGAGTAGACTACACAGGGACGATTTGTGTACATTGGAAATGTTTGTGTTTCCTGCGCGTGCTGTACTGTAAGATGTAAGATGTGAGATGTAAACCTTGAAGAAAGCGAAATATGTTGTTTCCCTTGGGGCTTGTGCAGTGATATACAGTGAAACACGTGCTGGGTGGTGGTGTGAGGGAACTGTAGGATCTTTAATTAGGGCTTCTGTGAATGAAAACTCACAGTTTACAAACTTAGATGCTCACATACACACACCAAAGACACCGGTGCAGGGCGGAGGAACATTAGATGGGGCATTAAAGTTTATGTGTGACTGGAAACTGTGGGGTTGTTTTTGTTGTGTTTTTACAGGGTTTCAGTTGCCTTAGGTAAGAGCCAAGGGAGAGCCTGCATTCCTCTGATCTTACACATGCTCCTTATAAGCAGGAAAACCACTGCACAGTCAAACATAACGTGTCTTGGTTCACATACAAATGCATCTGTGTGTGTGTGTGTGTGTGTGTGTGTGTGTGTGAACCAAGACACATCATGTTTGACTGTGCAGGGCTCTTAAGTAACTTGTTGGCAATCCAACAACTTATGAGTGTATGAGATCTGCCTGATATCTGATTCATTGCCTAGTGCTATTTTCTCCATTTTCGGTGTGTGTGCTTCTGTGTGTGTGTGAAAAGAGAGAATCTGATGCATGTATTTGATGTGTACGTGCGTCCGGTATATTTACAACTTTGTGCAGGTAGCTGTTGGGACACGGAGGTCAGTTCAGTAGTAGGTTTTTCAAGTGCACTGAGGCTGCAATTTTCTCAGCTTTTACAAGCTGTCACCAGTCACTGTGGCTTTGTTGCTTGATTGAATGTTGGTGGTTGCTTTTCCTCTGGACAACAGTAGTGCAACAGTGCGTTTCAAGGGAGGTAGTCTACTTTATGCAGATGTGTTGCATTGTGTAGATTACATTCATACATTGGAATCTCTCAATCATAATTTAGTTATTGTATGTGAACATTTCTTTACAGCAGTGAACACCTACCTGTCGTCTCCTTCTGCAGCTGGACCTGCACATGGATGTCATCACTGATTATTGATGAGAGATGAAAACAGAAGGTTGTCAGGTCTGAGATCAGTGGAGTTCATGGATCACCTGCTATAAATGAGACAGACACAATACATATGTGGATACAACCTGTGCACCCACATGTTTGCACATGATGCTAGTAAAATAACAAAAAGACAGTTCCTAAGTTAATGCAATAAAAAGCAGTTGCTCTATATCTTTAGTTCTTTGTTGTCTTTACAATTTTTCATTTTCGTTCCCCTCTTATTTAATCTATCCCCACTGATTTATAAAAGGAACTAAAAATTGCCTTTTAATGTGGATGGTGTGTCAGTGAGACATTTAAAATGAAACACATTTCCAAAGAGAGTTAGTTCAAATTAAAAAAGAAAAGAAAAGGAATCAAGAAGGCTGAATTTCAAGAGGAAATAGCTATATTTACAGATGAGAGACAGATGGATAGTAGACGCATACAAAGGCGGATTTCTAGTTGGAAAGCTAGCACACAAGACAGAGGAGCGGATTTACAAATGAGAGGTAAAGAGAGAGAAAAGCACAGACAGAAAGGAAGTAAGGGTAATATTAACAGATGAGAAAAAGAGGGAATGGGAGCAAATAGTCGATCTCCTGTTTAGATAAGGCTCTATCTGTTGCTGAGGCCTGGCACACTGTGTTCAGCCTCACAGACACCAGCCAGCACTGTGCTTGCACAACTCACACACACGAAAACATACACACACGAGCAGGAGGAGAGAAAGCTTTCAGGTCAAAGTTCACGTTCACTTCGTCCGCACCTAAGTGCTTTGTTGTTTGCTGCGATTGTTTTCAGACACAAACACAAACGCGCGCTATCACGCAGTCACGGCTTCACCTTCCAAGTGACAAAAGCCACAGCGGGAAAATGTCCTCTCTAGTACACGTACCACTTTAAGCCCATCACAGTCACTCAGGTTAAACCTGCGCTGGTGGTTGATCTAAATGGGTCAACGTGCGTCATTCAACATGGCTTTGTGACCCTCCTCCTGACCAGAGTTAAACATGAGTCTGACACTGCCCAGCTTTTCAACAGGCCTCTCTACTGGGAATGGGAATGTGATTTTGATGTATAGACATTTAAAAGACATTTAACCAACTCCCTGTCTTTTTGTAAGAGAGAGTACATAAGTGGTTGAGCAAGAGAACGTGAGCGTGAGGAGAATTGAAAATGAAACTTTATGCTGTTTCCACTATGTAATTCTTTGGAAGTCTCACAGACTAAAAAGTTTCAAAACAGTACTCACATGCCAACATGTATGTTTAGAGCCATTACTGTCCATGAAGCGATCCCTTCCTAAACCAAAGAAGGAACTGGTCCCGGCCAGGAAATAGTCCCACACATAAACACTTTGGTTTATTGTTCAGATTATATTGTGTGTTATCCCTTCTTTCAGTCATAATGCTAAGCTAAGCTAAAGGTTTCCTGGCTGTAGCTTTATATTTTATGGACAGATATAAGAATATATTATATTCAATATTTGAATTCAGCTCAAGCAAGTTTGCATATTCCGTATATGTTGAATTATTCCTTTCATATGTATGTATGATGCCATTAAATGACATCACTGCGTTGTTTCTCTAAGGTAATCATAACTGATTAATTCTGGTATTTGTGGTTGCCATGGTAGTGGAAATTGTCACCAATTACATTTTCATTAGTGTTTTATTGCTCATGCTATCAAATGAAACTGGACAGTCAGTGTGGATAAGATGAGGGCCAGATGAGGAGGCCAGTAGGGGAAGAGAAGGGGTTGGGCAAAGCAAAATAAACAGAGCAAAACAAACATGGCGGGGTGTTTCAAGTGTGGCTCCCAGGTACACTCATAGATGCACACTCAAAAACCACACACGCACACACACTCTTTTGCCAGAGTGGCAAGTGGCCAAACCAGAAGAGGCTAAAGAGAGAAAG